CCTCCTTTGGCTGTGAGTTTTTCATTGCTCTCCACCATAGCAGTATCCTAGTGATTAGGCCACCAGAGCTGCTGGCTGGCCAACCGCTAGTGCCTCCCTGCCCAGGTTTGTGCCTCGCCATGCGGATGAGCTGGAGCTGGAGGTGGACGATCCTTTGCTGGTGGAAGTGCAGGCAGAAGATTACTGGTATGAGGCCTACAACATGCGGACAGGAGAGCGGGGCATCTTTCCTGCTTACTATGCTATTGAAGTCACCAAGGACCCAGACCATGTAACAGGTACCAATCCTCTCTGCAAACAGCCTGTAGACATCTGCAGTTGCTGGCCCAGCTCCTCTCTGCTGAACGGAGGGTGGTGCTGTGCTGGGAGACTGTGGAAGGGCACCAGGAAGGGGAAGGGAAGGAGGAATGTGAGTGTCAGGACGGAATGATGGTAGCCCAGGCAGCTCCTGCTTATAGTGCTGGGCACTTTCAGATGTGGGAAAAATGGAGAGTGGACGTGTGTCTTGCTCTGCACATTTGACCATGAGCCATGGGCATTTGTCCAGGGCATGTGTTGTGGGTGTCTGTTCTTGCATGCTCTGTGACACATGTTCTGTCTTCCAGCTCTGGCCAAGAGCAGTGACTGGATGGACCAGTTTCGGGTGAAGTTCCTCGGCTCCGTGCAAGTTCCCTATCACAAAGGCAACGACGTGCTATGCGCAGCCATGCAGAAGGTAGAGTCCTGGTAGCACAAAGGGCAAAGTGGGGTGCAAGGGCAGAGCCTCCGCAGGGAAGAGCGAGCTGTCACTACATGCTGCCTGCCAGTGTCCGAGTGTTGTCTCTCTCTCTTCCCAAGATTGCCACCACGCGCCGCCTCACTGTGCACTTTAACCCACCCTCCAGCTGTGTCCTGGAGATTAGCGTGCGCGGGGTCAAGATTGCCGTGAAATCCGACGACTCCAAGGAGAACAGCAAGGTGGGGCCACACTCCCTGCACTCATCACATCCCTTCCCCAGTGGTTCTTCTGAGCTGGCTCTTGGATCTTGTGCTGCAGAACATGGTCGCATATGAAAATCACGTGGTTCAAGCCCATTTGATCCTTTCTCTGATGAGAAACACTGTCTGAGGGGTTGGAGGTCCAGCATTAGGGTGCCCCATATTTCACGAGATCCCAAGTTTAGGTCCTACTGCAGCTTGATGACCACCCCAGACCCATGCAGCTGCCAAGCGCATTTCTGTACTGGGATGCTGTGAGTTGAGCTGCACTGATAATCTGTGAGCTGCCCCTAAACCTTCCTGCTGCTATTTTCAGCGGTGTCCTCCAGATTTGCCCTGTAATCTCTTTAGCTGGATACTGTAGGCTGCTGATTAATGTTCTCCATAAGTAGCCTACCAAGGCACAGCAAGATGCTCTGCAGAAGCAAATGAGACCGTTACAGCAACCCATTTGGAAACCTCTTCTCCAGACAGGGATGTAGATGTGGTTTATGGTCACAGGTACTGTGGCAGAGAACTAGGCTGGGTGTTTTTTTACAAATCTTTCCTGTATTTAGAGGAATGTCATCAACTTGATGACATGGATTTTATTTTTTTTTTAAGTTCTCATTTCTGAGTGAGACCCTTTGAACACCAAGGATTGGATGATTTACATAGTTCTTCTAAAAATTCATCTTTTACCTATTGGTATTTATGAGTATCTCTAGCAAGAGAATAGGACTCTGTGTGCTGGGCAAACAGTAGCACTGGCTCTAAGCTGAGCACAGCCCAACACAAGGCCTCCAAGGAAATACCAGGGGCGCTGCTGGAGGTAGAGGCAGTGGGGATAGGTGGCATCAGGACTAACGAATAAATCAGTGTGCAGGTACTTGGAGCTGTCCCTGAACTGACCCTTCACCTTGGTGTTCTCACCTCCCTCTTCCTCTGTCCCCCTGAAGAGCTTCTCCTCTCATGGGAGCCTCTCATGCTAGCCCTGTTGGGTGACAGAGTCGGGGAGCAGCTCAGCAACAGCCCTGATCCGTTCTGCTGCTGGAGCTGAGCATGTGCCTTTCAGGGGCTAGACTGGCTACCCTGCAGGTGTGGTGGGGCTCCTGTGGGCAGGGCAGCATTGACCTTCCCTTTTCTTTTTCCCCAGGTAAACAAATGTAGCCATTTTTTCCAGCTGAAGAACATTTCCTTTTGCGGATACCATCCAAAGAACAACAAGTGAGTAGCAAAGAGGTGCAGGCTCCTCTCAGTACCAGTGTCTTGGCACAGCAGCTTGGCGTAGTCCTGCAAGAGGAATGGAAGGGGAAGGAAGGCTTACCAGTGCCTTTCCTGAGAGCGCCCCTTCCCTGCACACCCTGTTCATCAGCTTCCTGCTAGGAGCAGCCTTTGGAGGAGGCTCCTTTCCATCACTGGGCCCTGATTGTAAGGAGGCAGGTTCTAAGTCACCTAGTTGCTGATTCACACAAGTGCCCAGGGTGACTCCTGGAGTCCACATGCCAGTACCACCTCACCTATTCTCTCTTCTTTCAGGTATTTTGGGTTCATCACCAAGCACCCTGCCGACCACAGATTTGCCTGCCATGTGTTTGTCTCGGAGGAGTCCACAAAGCCCCTTGCAGAGTCCGTAGGGTGAGTCCAGGCCGGGCTGGGGGGAAGGCGTTTGCTTCTGAAAGGCGGGAGGATTTTTCCCAAAGGCCACTGAGTTAGGGCCCCAGGTTGGATTCTGTTGTCTCCCCACATGTGTGGGGCTCTGACCTGGCTCCAAGCTAGCACTGCTTCCCTAAAGCAAGGCTGACAGGGTGACAGGCAGCACATTCCTGACAGCACTGGATCATGTCCCAGTGCAAAGATTTGCTGGCAGATGGCTGCAAATCACACACTGTGCAGAGGATCAGAGCAGGGATGGAGATCCTTTTGCTCCAGTGATGCCACTGGTTGCTAATAAGTGTGGGTTCGGGGGCTCAGGCAAGGCAGTGGGTGACTGCTCCAACCTCACAGCTGGGTAGTGGGCAAGGGCAGGGAGTGGAAGGAACCAGCAGTGGAAATAGGCTCTGCTGGTGCCCTGGGGGAGGGAACTGCTCAGCTTTGCTCATGCTGTGTTGCAGGAGGGCTTTCCAGCAGTTCTACAAGGAGTATGTGGAGTACACATGCCCCACAGAGGACATCTACCTGGAGTAGGGGCTGGCACAGGCACCTCCTGTACAGCCAGGGCCGCAAACTCGCCCCTTCCCCGCCGTGCATGGACAAGAGCTGCTTTGAGACTGGAAGAGGAGCGGGCTCTGGGCACAGCTCCCCAGGGGCACAGAGCACTGCCCCTTGTCATGACTCCCCTTCCTCGGGCCGGGGTGGATGGGCGGGGGGGAGGGCTGGACAAATTGTGTTTATTGTACAAAATACTCTTAGTTTATTCTATTGGCGAAGCATCCGCAGGGTGCCCTGCCTGTAGTGCCGGAGGGGTGGGCAGCAGCGTGCTCAGCCCTTTCCTGGTGCAGGCGGGGGTGACAGCATCCCTCCCTTGTGCCCCTGGCCCAGCTTCCCGTCACATCCATCTGGGGTGACTTTTAATGCGGTGGCAGAGTCGGACTCTTGCAGTATGAAGACACAGCAAATGAGAGCCAGGTGATGGCTCCTTCCGGGGAGATGGGCTCACCCACCTGCTTCCCTGAGGCCATCACCTCCCTTCCAAGCCCTGGGGATAGGGCTGCTGAGCAGAGATGACAGAGGGAGTCCTGGAGTATCCCCTGTCATGGAGGGTGCATGAGAAGGGATGAGCTGGGCCAGTTCACACCTGCCTCTGCTCCCATCCCCACATCTCCCATCTTTTACCTGTGCCCTGGGGAGAGAAAGAGTTCCACCTTGTATCTCTCCACAGTAGCCGTAGCACGGGGAGTGGGGTGCATTTCTATGCCCCATCTCCCTTCTTGCTGCAGCTCAGAGGCAAGAGGCAGGGCTGAGCCGACCCCACGGTGACGGGCCGGAGCCCCCGGGGTGCACGGGGGTGCCTCTCCAAGGGAGGGGCAGGGAAGGGCTAAAGCCTGCAGGGAGCCATGCAAATCCCCAGGGAGACAACCAGGCTCTCCTGCTCCCTGCAACCAGCGGTCTCTGTGCTTCAGCTGGATCTGCTGTGATGGCAACAACTATTAAATATGATGGTTCATGGAGTAGTGCTGCTGTGCTGTTTATGCCCTGCAGCAGTGGGTTTGGCTCATTCCCTCCCTTGGGAGCTCAGAAGGCTCTGGCGCTTTTGGGGTCTGGTCTGAAAGTTCCTCTTCAGGCCCTGAAGCCAAGAGACTGTCATAAAATCGTGGTGCAGCTTCAATCAGAAGGGGCCTCTGGTAGTCCTCGAAGCGGGCCGGGGCAACTGCAAACTTATAGCAGGGTGCTCAAGGCCCTATTCAGCCATATTTTAAATCTGCAAGGCCAGCATCTTCTCTGGATGAGTGTTCCAGTGCCTAACTGTGATCACAGCAAGTATTTTTTCCTTATATCTAACCATAGCAGCCCCTGTTGCAATGTGTGTCCTGTCCTTTGTCTCTTGCCCTTTCCTTGTGCCTTGCCAAGAGGAGTCTGGCTCTGTGCTCTCTATAGGTGCAGCAATGTAGCCCCTCAGCCTCCCCTTCTTAAGGCTGAGCAAACCCAAATCCTTCAGCCTCTCCTCATACCTCATGTACTCCATCCCCTAATCAGCCCCTCTCCCCTGGCCACTGCTCTCGCTTCAGTTATTTCCTCTCCCAGACGCCCCAAACTGGAGGCCGAGCTCCAGGCACAGTCCCCGGCGGGCACACAGACAGCAGCAGTCACGTCCCTTGATTCACTGAGTGGATTTTTACTGTCACAGCCCCGTGCACTGAGCGCGTTCGCTGCCAGAAGTGCTCTGCTGGCTTCAGTGCAAGGCGAGGGCTGCGTTTCCCCCTGCGTCGCTCCCTCTGCAGGGCCCGAGCCGGGATGCGCAGTGCCCCTGCAGGCCGCGCTCGCCCGGGTGCCCTGCGGTGGCGCGGGGCCACGCTGCGGAGCGCAGGACGAGAGGAGCCCGCTCACAGCTGCTCATCGTAGTAGTACTCGGACAGGTCGAGCTCATCGCGCTTGCTCTTGCCCACGCGGTGCAGCCCCGCTGGCCGTGCCCGCGTTGCCTGGCTCCGCAGGTGGGGCTGCTGGGGTTTAATGCCATAGTCTGGTGGGGAGAGAGCAGGGTGAGCGGGGCTGCGCGAGCCCCGGCGGTGGCTCTCAGGCACGGGAGCAGCCGGTGTCCCCATCCCTGCTGCGAGCGGGCTCAGGTCGCGCTCCTGGCTGTGGCGGAGAGCAGGGGCTGACCCTGGCCTGAACAACAGCAAGAGGCTGCCCCCACGGCCCCAGGCCAGTCTGCGGGTGCTGAGGAGTGAGACCTGGCAGCAGGTCTGTGGGGAGTCAGCGCTGCCCGCCTTCCATGGGGCATCATGAGGGCTGGGGCAAGGAGCGGGCCCTACCATCCACCAGGCCGAAGTGCGGCTGCGGGAGCTCCAGCGGGGCAGATAAATCCTCAGGGACCGAGTAGTCGACCCTGCAGAGGAAACCCCAAGGCAGGTGTGAGCTGCGGCCTGCCTGGGGCGCCCCACATGCAGGCACTAGGGCTCCCACAGCCCGCTCGCTGCCAGCCCCTCACCTCTCCTCAGGCCTGGCCTGCTTCTGGCGCTGCAGAGGTTGCTGCAAGGGGCTGGGGAGGAGAGGATGCACGTGAGCCAGAGCCGGGAGGAGGGACAGCCCTGCAGGTGCCCCCGCGGGCACCGCCGGGGCAGGGGGAGCAGGGAGGTGCAGGGATGGGGAAGGTGCCGTCACCTCTGGCGCAGCGGCCGGGGGAGCGCGGCTCCCACCAGCGCAGCGAGCAGCAGCAGCCAGTGCCTCATGGGGCTCGGCGGCGCTCCCAGGGCAGTGCCCAGGTGGGAATGCTCGGCCCCGGAACCCTTGCGCCCAGCCTGCCCCAATGTCACAAAGGGAGCCACCACCTCGGTGGCCCTGGGGACACATGGTGGCACTGCCAGGCACGGGCACCTGGAGCCAGGCAGGGTGGGCAGGAAGCGGCTTCCCGCCTGGCTCTGCTGCCTGACGCCCCCTTGCTCCACTTTGTGGTGCCCCATCTGCTCCCAGGCAGCTCTCACAGGAAACCTGGGGCTGGCGGGAGGCCCTGCCCCCAGCCATGGGAAGGGCCTGGAGCCCCGGCACCGGCGTCACGGCATCGGGGACATTCGCCAGCCAGCTCTGCTGTGTCAGGCATCAGGTGACCTGCAGCTGAAGCGGCCGCGGGCCCCGCCGGTACAAAGTTCCTAGTCCTTGGCTGCTTTCCACGTGCTGCCAGCCTCGAGCAGCGGCTTGGCCATGTCCTCCTGCAACAGCTTTGATGCCTGTGCTCACTGTGCCAGCCTTTGGGTGCCAGCACAGCTCACGGCCTCTGCCTCCCGACCCCATGCACCCATAGGCTCCTGGAGGCAGCACGGCCCAGAGCTGCATGGGCTGTGGCAGCTGCTCCCAGTCCTGCTCCCACCAGCGCCCATCACTTCGCCAGGTGTCACCCAGCAGCACCAAAGCCGCCTCATTACCCCAACACCCCGCACCTCCCTCCCGGCCTCTCCCAAAGCACTCCCTTTCAGCACTGCACTTCCCTCACCCCCATTCACCCACACTTTCCAGGCTTTATGATCTCCAGCATCTCCCTCTTTTATGAAGCCCATGGCCTCCGTGGAGCACAGTCCCCATTGCTGCCACATTACAGGCCTCTGCTGCCCGCTGAGGTGCAATCACCAACCCCATGTGCTGGCCACTGGCACTTCCCCTCCATGGCTGAGGTCGGCTGGCCCAAGAGGTAGGGTGTTGCAGCCTCCTTAGCGATGCTGCGGCAGGAAGGCTGTGCTCCCTGCAGCCTCACAGGCTCTTACCAGCTCAGGCTGAGGTATTTGTGTCACCCACTTGGTGCCAGCTGCTGTTGGGACACAGGAGGCACTGTGGGCCGGCCCCTCACTGGTGTGGATAGCGGTGGCAGGCGGCAGGCTCTTGGCAGGACCGGCCCATGGCACCAGAGCCCCCACAGCGGCTGACTGGACAAACTGATGTCTCAATTGCCCCTCAGTGAGCAGGGCAGATACAAGAGATGACTACAGGCCTCAGCTGGACCTTTCATTAAGTGCTGCGCAGCAATATCTGCTAATTAATCTCTGTTTCTCCCCATCTCTACCCTAGGCCAAGCCCCCGAGCACTGGCTGGCAGCTGTGCTGCAAACACTTGTAGCACACAGGCAAAATATCCTACAACCCACAGCTATCCATACCCATGCAGGAGCGCCAGGGAACTGCAGCCTGACCCAGGCATCAGGAACTGCGGATGCTGCACTCACCAGCCAACAGCTGCAGCCCTGCTTGCCCCTCTGAGCCAGAGGTGTTTAAGCGACATTAAAATTATAGGTAGCAGCTCCTGGGGTAGGGGATAACAAAAGCTCTTCTTGCTGATCAAGAGACTTGCTGGCACCCAGAAGCAAAAGACACAGGGGTATCCCTTTCAGGCAAGGAAGAGGCCTAAGGAAGGGGAGGTCTTTCAGCTCAGTTCTTTCAGTTCAGTCAGTTTATTTGACAGGAAAGTCCTCTGCAAGCAGAGTGACGAGGCATGGCCAACGCACGCAGGCTGCAGTTCTCTCCTAGGCACGAGGCAGGAGACAAAGCCCTCCAAAAAACACTGTGCTGCCTAGCTTTATTATAGTGCAGCCTTACAAAAGAAGAGGAACCAAGTGCTTAAAAAAAAAAACGAAAAGGTTGTCCCACCACCATCACTGCAGCCACAGCACTGTCCAGGGGAAGAAATGGCCAAGATCTCTCCACACACATAGTGTCCATCATTCACAGCCAGATCTGTTAAAAAATTACATACACCCCCCCACCCTGCAGAATGGGAGCTTCTCATTGATAGTTTAACTGAAAGTTAGATGAGATCAACACCCTTTCCCCAGCCTGATTGCTCTTAGACATGTCCAACCATGATCTTAGCAAAGAAGGGTCATCTTCTCATCAGCCCCAATTATAGAAGTAGATTTTCTGCCAAGCAGGCAAGTAATCCATCAGCGGCCCTGAAACAAGAGAACAGGAGGAACAAGAAAATTAAAAGGCAAGAACCTGAAGCTCTGTCTATATGGGATACATTTCCCCTTACCCTTATGATACATGTCAACCCATCTCCCCCGTTTTCCCAAGAAAACCCCAAAATAAAATAGCTTATTTCTCTCCTCCATCTCACAGGATGGGAGGCATCTTTGGAATGGCCATCAGAGATTAGATGACATAGATGAGAAAAAAAAAAAGAGAAGTAGCGCACAAGACAATTGTGGGACACAATCTCCTCAGCGCTGACCTGCCTAAACTGCAGTGTGGAGGGATGGGGGGGAGGTCTCTAATGTGCAAAGGAAAACCTTGTGTGCAGTCAGTGAGGCCACAGCTGTGGCACAGGAAAGAGGAAGACAACTCAGCAATAAGGAGCAGGTGCTGAAGCAACACTGCATAGCAGAAATGCTGAGGACAGCACATGGCCTCGTGCAGGCTGCAAAGGCTCTCAGTAACTGGGGGCAGGGGTTCCTGAGCAAGCCAGCTTTGATACTTTCCTGTCTAATGGGCCAGTCCTTCAGTGCCATATCATTGCCATGAACCACTCCAGGAAAGACTTCAGTGGGGAAGATGGGGAGGTGAAATGCTAGCCCATGGCAAGGGGATCCATTCAGGTGAGTGATTTGGAAAGGAAAGACTTTGGTTCGGCTCTTTGATTTAAAATCACCTCCTTCCTGGGCCAATACCTCTTGGCTGCTGCCTTCCCCTCTGGTCTGCACTATGGACTTGGGAGCAAGGAAAGAAGTTCAGAAATGAGTGCTACAAAAGGCAAGGCTCTAGTGCCCCAGTCAAGCTGGAGAAAGGGAACCCTGGCAATCAGGCCTAGGTGGAAGATACAGCCTTGCAAGCTCTGAGAGTATTTGGAGATCTACTGCTGTGCTTGAGTGCAGTTGCCTAATAGGCAGGATGCAGGCAATCCCTTTGCCAACATAAGCATTAATAGCAGGTGCACTGCTGCTAACCATCCAGGGACCCCCTCATTCTTTTCACAGGTTAGAGACTGACTGACAAATAGCTCTGCTCAACTCCCATGGTATTTTTCTACCCATGGGAAACAGAGATATGGCAACTAGGTGCACTTACGTGTGACAAAGCCAAGCCCAGGCACATAATCAGCCAACAAGCGCAGAAGGAAGAGGATCCTGCCCCTGTAAAAAGAAAAATAATGAAGAAGTCCAGTGAGACACTCCTATTCCCAATTATTTAATACACCACCAGCAGCAGTTGCATTTATTTATGAAGCTGATTTGTCTTGCTTGCATCTTCAGTTGTCCCTCCCACCTCAAAATTGCGAGATCATGAGTCTTTAATCTTCAGTTTAACCTGAGCATGCTCTAGCATCTTTGCTCAAACTGATCTGACCACAGGCACCCAGACATCTTCAAATTTGCCCACCCAGTGCACTGATGCTACCTCTCTTCAGCAAAGTTTTCAGCAAAAGCCCCTCGGGAGCCCCTTACTCCGAGTATCGGTCGTAGAAGGGAGATCTCAGCAGGTAGTACAGCAGGAGGATGGTTCGGCGCCTCAGCTCCACGCGCTCTCGTCTGTTCAGGTCTTTCAGATCACTCAGCAAGCTCAGACTGGAGGAAGCGCAGAAAGCAACTATTGACAACAGCAGGTAACAGGGAAGGGAAAGTGAGTCTCTAAATGCCCTCCTCTCTAAGCTCCATGTAGAGCAGACTGTTCCAGCTCTTTCAGGTAGAAAGAACTGTAGAAGCACTGCAGAGGACATCTATAAAGTTCCAATCACCCAGCTGAAAAACAGCCCCAGCCCCTGTGCATAATTCTGTCAGAATGGCCTGCCCTGGGAGGGGAAGCGGAGGAAAATGGGACAGCCAGACATCCCCAACCCGAAAACATTCACAAAGGAACCTCAGGCTGACCTTGAGACATCCAGGATTGCTGACAGAAGCCACGGCTTCCATGATCTCTGGCCCCACACTCCTAAACTCAGTACTGCGAAGAGACAGTCAAGGAATGGAAAGAACCAAGCACGCCTAACAAAAGCAACATGTGTGATGGGTACCAGCAAAGCTTCACAGAGCCCCAAAGAATACACTCCAAGGCAGAACCAGCATGCCCCAGAGAAGAGATTGGAGGACTTGTGCCCACAGCTTAAGCAGCTCGTGTCTGTCACCAAGGTAAAGGGCACAGGAGAGGTCCCAAGGCCACTGCATAAGCAGCAGAGCACCAGTGCTCCCAGAGCAGCGAAGAGGAGGGTGCTGCCCTCCGGCAGAGCCGCCGTGGTGGCCGATCCCGCAGCACCCTCTGCCGGCACCCGGGCTGCAGCGTGTGCCCTCCCACAGCCAGCGCAGGATACAGTGCAGCAGAGGCCGGGCAATGTACACAGATTCTGCGATGGTTTCTTGGAGGCCCAGGGGGGTGGGAGGCTGGTTCATCTCCTCTGCTCTTCGGCTCTGGGATTCCTCCCTCTGCTGGGGGGACCCCCAGTGCCTGGACTGGAGGGATGGGGCTGAAACAGGCAGATCAGGTCACTAATGCAATCAGTACCATTCTGCAGTGTGCCCTGTACAACCGCCCTGCCGCGTCCTGCGCTGTGAAGGGCTCAAACAGGGGAGCTGGAATTGCTGTGGACACAACAAAGTTGTGGCTTCCCCCTCCTCGTGTCCAGGGTGCCCAAGCTATTGCAGCTGACCAACACGCTCACAATTTGTCCCCAGCAGGGACAGAGCAGGGAGAGATGTTAAGATCCATGGTCCTCAAAGCTTAGTCACACTGAAGACTTCATTGCACAGGTCACAGGC